GTTCATATGGTACCTCTTGAAATGGTTGAACATTAACCATTTCCTTTTGGTACAATGACTCTGTGTATTCCTTCCATCTTTTCTAATTTTTTTTTAATGTTTTATTGTGAATTATATGATAGTTTACATGAGAGAACCTTAGTTTTACATTCATTCCATCGTATATCATTTCATTGCCTCGGTTCCAATCCCCTCCATGCATCATCAACCGACCAAAGGGTATATCCTAGAAACCCGACCCCTACCCTTCCCCCTCCCTCTCTGGATCCAAAGTCCCCAGCCACTTCATCACTCCACATCATTGTCTGTCTCTATCTCAGGCATCTCTGCTTCTCAGGGTAGGGTCCCGCTCTCGGCTTTTCTCCGTTGATGGTCCTAGAGACCTCTGCTCCTAGACTGGAGAATTAATCACTCCCTTCCTTGCTACAAAACATGTACCTTTGCATTTCCAACCCTCATAATCAGTCTTGATAACCATTATTCACTACATTATCACGAGTTACCCATGTGTATTTCATTTCATCAGCTCCGCCTAGACAGATTGGATAGTACTCACTGGAGATTCTGCTTTCCTCCATGCCCCCTAGCTCTAGGTTCCCTCTTGAAAGCTTGTAAGCCAGTCACTTCTTGCCTTTGTAGTCTTCCCTCCCCATTTGGGTATCCAATGTCCAAGTTGCCCATCTCTGTCTACTGTGTATGTGGAGGGGGTGGGAATGCTTCTTGCTGTAAGGATTTGTTCCTTCCTTTGAGTCACTGCATCCATAGGTATAGGTCAAGTTCATCAGATTGTATCAGCTCACTCTTTTTTTTCCCCTCTTCTTTCTTCTCCTGGTTGAGCTCTGATCATCCAGTCATCTGGTCCAGGTCACGTGGGTACCATCTGCAAGTGTGGGCGTTCTTGTGCACATGCCTTCTCTTCCCATCAGCTGGTAGCTCCACTCTCCTCTCGAGTCCTCCGTGGCCACGCCACTGACTCTGGGCCCAAGAGTCCCCAAGTCTCCTCACACTGCTTGCCAACCAGGTCCCCAGAAGCCCACTGAACAATGTAGGGCTTAGCTTGCTGCTTCATGGCTGCTTTTACCCCACTTCCCCCTATCGGTGATGTGTGTGGTCACCTATCAGAGCTTGTATTTTGTTGAGTCTTAGTCTTGGGAGGGGATTTGCCTTGAGAGGACCTTCCATGTTTTCTTGATGCCCTCTGCATCATTCAATAATTTGCCCAGAAAATCTTTCAATAACGAGAGGCTTGAATTTTTTCTTTAGTTCCCCCAGCTTGAGAAATGCTGACCGTGTTCTTCCCTTCTGGTTTTCTAACTCTTAATCTTTCCATATTTTATTATAGTATTTGGTTTTATCTTCTCGAGCTGATCTTTGAAATTTTCTGTTCAGCTCTTGGACCTCTTCAATTCTTAAATTTAAAGGAGGTATTTACAAATAATCTTTCAGCCAGTATGCAAATAGCCTATTCATTGACATAGCACCCATCTCCTTTTTATCATTAAGTTCTTTTGAAATTTTAATTACTAAAATATCAATTCAATTTGTCCTTTGCAAATGACCTCCTCTGGTTACACTTGTTTATGTTAAGTGCTATCCAGTGGGTTCCAACACATAGTGACCCTGTATAGGGTTTCCTAGGATCTGTTGGTAGGCTTGAACTGCCAACCTTATGGTACATAGTCCAGTGCTGATCTTACAAAGCCACATCAGAAGTCCTCTGGTTAGACTACTAAGTGAAAAAAGTCTAAACATTTTAAAAGTTTTTTGTTTTTTTTTTTACATTTTAAGTTTTTGATATGAAACAATACATTGCTTCTTTAAAGTTCTGACAAGTCATAATGCCATTTCACCAATAATTTTCCAGAACTGGAAAATTTTTTACTTTCTCTGTGATTGGTGGAGGTGGTGGTTATGTGCTGTGGAGTCAGATTTGACTCCTAGCAACCCTGTATAGGGTTTCTGAGGATATAAATCTTGACAGGAGCAGAGAGCCTCATCTTTCTTTCTAGGAGCAACTGGTAGATTTGAACTGTTGACCTTGAGGTTAGCACCCAACTCATAACCCACTATGCTACCAGAGCTCCTTTTTCTAAGACTCTAGTTGTTATTAAGTGCCTTTGAGTAGGCTCTGACTCACAACAACCCTATATAGAGTTTCTGAGGAGCAGCTAGTGGTTTTAAACCACCCACCTAATGGTTCAAAACAACCTTCCATTATCCTACAGCACCACAGCAGGACTCCAAATGCAACTAATGACGATGACTGATGTTGTTACGTGCTGCTGAGTTGATTCCGACTCATAGTGACCTTGGATAGGGCTTCCGAGGAGCAGCTGGTGAGCTTGAACCATGTGCCTTACAGTTTAAACAGCTTTGCAGTCTGGCACATTAACCCACAGCACCACACCTTAGAAACACACAATTCTAGTGAGCCAGATTAGTAACTACTGAATTTTCCTCTCCAGAATGGTTACTAATTCTTAAGAAAGAAAATATAATTTCTGCTCATGCCTTTGTCAGGAGCTGATGAAGCCCTTGTTATTCTTAAAAGTTGGAATATTTCTGTATATTGCCAAATTAAAATATCAGAAGCAAATACCTTTAAAAATGTTCATTTATATGACCTAATTTCTCTCTTTATATGCCCTTTGGTTACTTTAAACCGTGCTATTCTTTGGTAAGACATTCAGTTTTCATGCCTAGCTGTTGTTTGTTAAGTGCTGACGAGTTGGCAACTCATAGCGACTCTGTACCGGGTTTCTGAGAAGCAGCTGGTGGGTTTGAACGGCTGACTTTACAATTATAGTACTGCAGTGCCGACTCTTCAGCACCACACCAGGACTCCCTTCATACTTGGTGGTGGTGGTTATGTGCCGAGGAGTCAGTTCTGACTCATAGTGACCCTGTACAGGGTTTCCGAGGCTGTAAATCTTTATGGGAGCAGAAAGCCTCATCTTTCTCCCATGGAATAGCTGGTAGTTTC